TTTTATGTAACCGGACTTGAGTCCTGGAAATGGAAAGTACAATGCCTGCACTCTAAAGGAGGGGTTTCGGGATATTAGCAGTTTGGAGGGATATAATGTGTATCTTTATATGTATATGCTTCTAAACTGTTGTGTTCTGAGCACCTCTGCAAAAACAGTGATTATGTGTGAGTGAGGTGAAAGTGTTGAATGATGATGAAAGTATTTTCTTTTTGGGGATTTTCTTTCTTTTTGGGTCACCCTGCCTCAGTGGGAGATGGCCGACTTGTTGAAAAAAAAAAACATACAATATAATCTTAGGTGATGCTGTTTTAACACAATACATACAATACAATCTTTATTTGCAAAAATGCTTGAATTTATACACTGATGTTATTCAGAGCACAAAAATAATTCATGAGATAAGTTTACTTACAGAAATATATACTGTTAAGGTTAAGTGAAACAGTAATCATATAGTAACATAATTCCTTCATATGAGGTTGCCATTGTTCCATTTTACATTTAGGAGATAAAGCTTCCTTGACACAAAATTCTCTTCTTGTAAAAGACCTGTAAATGTGTATGTTGGTGTGCACACTAACACAGCTTGCTCAAGTTTTGAAGAACTCAAATCTTTGAAACTAAATTATCAGCAGCTAGAATTAAATCTACCTGAATAACCACATTTAAATGCAATTAAGAAGACTAAGTACTAACATTCACAGAAAATTCAAATCAGTTGTTTCTCAATATTCAGTTGAAAAAGAAACTAAAGTTCACTTCTGTCCTTTAGGGGTTTACACACTAGGCAGAGTAATGATTATGTTAAATCACTCTTGGGATGTGCCACTCTAGGGTAAATGGGTGAAAATTGTCATTGTTAATAATACTGATGTATCTGCTGCATGTCATGAAGCATCCAGTTGTATTAGATATTCTAAATCACAATATATGTCACCCAAAAATTCTGATTATACAGTTCCATGCAAATCTATATCCTCTCTATGATACAGACAAACAGACAGACACACACACACACATATACACACATACATACACACACACACACACACACACACACACACACACACACACACACACACACACACACACACACACACACACACACACAGAGGAGCTGTGACTCGACCCCTGCAACCACAAATAGGTGAGTACACACACACATATATAATTTTAATATTCAAAGTAGTGACAGAGGAGACCTTAAATTAAAGACCAACATCCCTGCTAGGTATATACTGTAAAGTAATTGAGAGGATTATTGGCAGAAGACTGAAAGAACACTGGAGAACACTGGACGGCTCACAGAGCAACAACCTGGATCAAGAAAAAGTGGTCTCAACCACCTACTAATGAACAGTACAGGTTTATGACAGACTGGCACAGTACAAGTCCACGACAGGTTGACATAGTGCAACCCTTTGATAAGCTGGTACAGTGCAAGTTTACAATAGACTAGCACAATACTGGTCTGCAACAGAGTGGAACAGATTAAGACAAGAGAAGTATGACCAGAGTACATATTCCTACACTGCAATAAAGCCTTGAACACAGTAACAAAGACATCACTATGCAAGCTGAGCTGAAGGCTATGATGACAGTCCAAACAAATTTTAACATTCACACACAAAAAAAATTATAAAATATTAAAAACATGGAACAAAAACAAGAATCTAGGAATGATTCTGAATAAGACACTCACTGGAAGATCACAAATACAGTACAGTAGTAGAAACTCGTATGATAAACTAGCAAGCTTCAAAATAGCCGTCATACATATAGGATGGCAACATTCTAATAAAGCTGTTCACAGTGAAACAAAGATTAAACAGAAAAAAATACAAAGACATGCCACAAAATGACTTCCAGAACTAAGAATTAAGGGTTATTGGATGCTTGACAGAAGGAAACGAAGGAGACATGATATTCACTTATAAGATCATAAAAGGCTAAGAAAAATTAGGTAAGAAAGATTTTCTAAGCCCCATCAACAAGGAGAAGTCATTACTGCAAACTGAGAAAGAGGTACAGTACAGTAATACCAAAAGAGCACTAGACAATACATCTCCTAAAAAGAATGTTGTAGACTAGTCAAAGAGGAAGTAGTATTTGCTACAAAAACTATAAAAAATTATAAACTAAAAATGCTACAGTTGAGACAACCTAAATAGGTAAGCATACCTAATACTGAAACTATGAAGACTTTCAGTGTAAAAAACATTAGACAGCGATATGAGAGCAACCATCCTCATAGAACAATCACAATCACACAGGTGTACTGTACCATAAGAATAATCAAACAGGGTACAGTACTGCAAGTATAATCAAACAGGGTACTGTACCACAATAATAATCAAACAGGGGTACTGTACCACAATAATAATCAAACAGGGTTACTGTACCACAGTAATAATCAAACAGGGTACTGTACCACAATAATAATCAAACAGGGTACTGTACCACAGTAATAATCAAACAGGGTTACTGTACCACAGTAATAATCAAACAGGGTTACTGTACCACAATAATAATCAAACAGGGGTACTGTACCACAATAATAATCAAACAGGGTTACTGTACCACAATAATAATCAAAAAGGGGTACTGTACCACAGTAATAATCAAACAGGGTTACTGTACCACAATAATAATCAAACAGGGATACTGTACCACAGTAATAATCAAACAGGGGTACTGTATCACAATAATAATCAAACAGGGGTACTGTACCACAATAATAATCAAACAGGGGTACTGTACCACAGTAATAATCAAACAGGGGTACTGTATCACAATAATAATCAAACAGGGTTACTGTACCAAAATAATAATCAAACAGGGATACTGTACCACAGTAATAATCAAACAGGGGTACTGTATCACAATAATAATCAAACAGGGGTACTGTACCACAATAATAATCAAACAGGGGTACTGTACCACAGTAATAATCAAACAGGGGTACTGTACCACAGTAATAATCAAACAGGGGTACTGTACCACAATAATAATCAAACAGGGGTACTGTACCACAATAATAATCAAACAGGGGTACTGTACCACAATAATAATCAAACAGGGTACTGTACCACAGTAATAATCAAACAGGGGTACTGTACCAGCAGCAACAGCCTGGTTGATCAGGCACTGATCCACCAGGAGGCCTGGTCACAGACCGGGCCGCGGGGCCGTTGACCCCCGAAACTCTCTCCAGGTAAACTCCAGGTACCACAATAATAATCAAACAGGGGTACTGTACCACAGTAATAATCAAACAGGGGTACTGTACCACAATAATAATCAAACAGGGTACTGTACCACAGTAATAATCAAACAGGGGTACTGTACCACAATAATAATCAAACAGGGTACTGTACCACAGTAATAATCAAACAGGGTACTGTACCACAGTAATAATCAAACAGGGTTACTGTACCACAGTAATAATCAAACAGGGTACTGTACCACAATAATAATCAAACAGGGTACTGTACCACAGTAATAATCAAATGGTACTGTACCACAATAATAATCAAACAGGGTACTGTACCACAGTAATAATCAAACAGGGGTACTGTACCACAGTAATAATCAAACAGGGTACTGTATCACAATAATAATCAAACAGGGTACTGTACCACAGTAATAATCAAACAGGGGTACTGTACCACAGTAATAATCAAACAGGGATACTGTACCACAATAATAATCAAACAGGGGTACTGTATCACAGTAATAATCAAACAGGGGTACTGTACCACAGTAATAATCAAACAGGGGTACTGTACCACAATAATAATCAAACAGGGTACTGTACCACAGTAATAATCAAACAGGGTACTGTACCACAGTAATAATCAAACAGGGTTACTGTACCACAGTAATAATTAAACAGGGTACTGTACCACAATAATAATCAAACAGGGTACTGTACCACAGTAATAATCAAACGGTACTGTACCACAATAATAATCAAACAGGGTACTGTACCACAGTAATAATCAAACAGGGGTACTGTACCACAGTAATAATCAAACAGGGTACTGTATCACAATAATAATCAAACAGGGTACTGTACCACAGTAATAATCAAACAGGGGTACTGTACCACAGTAATAATCAAACAGGGATACTGTACCACAATAATAATCAAACAGGGGTACTGTATCACAGTAATAATCAAACAGGGGTACTGTACCACAGTAATAATCAAACAGGGGTACTGTACCACAATAATAATCAAACAGGGGTACTGTACCACAATAATAATCAAACAGGGTTACTGTACCACAATAATAATCAAACAGGGGTACTGTACCACAATAATAATCAAACAGGGGTACTGTACCACAATAATAATCAAACAGGGTTACTGTACCACAATAATAATCAAACAAGGTACTGTACCACAATAATAATCAAACAGGGTACTGTACCACAGTAATAATCAAACAGGGGTACTGTACCACAATAATAATCAAACAGGGGTACTGTACCACAATAATAATCAAACAGGGTTACTGTACCACAATAATAATCAAACAGGGGTACTGTACCACAATAATAATCAAACAGGGTTACTGTACCACAATAATAATCAAACAGGGGTACTGTACCACAAGAAAAATCAAACAGAGGTGCTATACCACAAGAATAATCAAATGGGAAAGAAGAAATAGGAAAAACAGAATGGCACAAGTGAAAGAAAAACTAAAGAAAAAAAATGTTGTCAAAGAACAGAACCATCAGTAAGGAAAAGGACACTTAAAACATTCAGCTTATTTCTATCATTAAAATTTACTACAAACTTCAATAATCTCCATATTTATGTATATTCTCATCTTTTCGATTCTATTTCTTCCTTGTATGCAGAATATAACTTATAATGACCTTTTACTTATTCCATTACCTTATACTGGTAATACGTAAGGAAATTCTTGTACTACTATCTCAGATATACTATTAAATTAAAACTACAAAACATGGGCAGCACCTACTCTGGCATCTCGACGATCATGTCCTGCAGTCTGCCCAGTTGCAATAAGTAGCTTGTTAGGATGTACTGCCAGGCTGGTGATGAAGGAAAATAGAAGCTAATTAAGAGAGATCACTGCAATCATAAATGTGTACAGAGTTAAGAAATTACAAGGTTTAACACAGCATAATTTCTGGACCATGTCACTTGCTCATCTTATCTTACCATTCACCCATATTGCAGTGAACCCTCCATATAATGGACTAATGGTGGAGGGTGATTCATCAAGTGTCTTTTAAATCAGAATTATGTTAAAATCACAGAAAAGCACTAAAGTACTCCACTGTGTACCTGGTAGAGAAGTGCACACACAATTTACACATATACGTACTGTACTGCAATAATCATTGAAATAAAAAGTACAATTTACCCCCTGGATTTTGTCAGTCATTTCAGAAATCTGTTATTCTGAGGTTCATTACATCGAAGGTTTACTGTAACTTAATTAATGTAGGGCGAGAGGCGAGTAATTCTTATTTGTAGGAAGTCAGGTGTAGGTAGCCGGTAGGTAGCCTGGGCTACATAGCTATACGATATTTAATGTGGCCCAGAAATATTATTACCATTGCCATACCATGTTCACTGAGTTTAATCGTTTCTAACAACTACCTTTAGATGCCATCATAAACAAAGGGAGAAGTAACGAATAATTCATGCCGAGAATTGTTAACAAAAGCGTTATGTAACAAGGGGAGTGACTGGGCCAATGCAGATTCATACATGTTTTCTCTGGTGGTGGACCAGAGAAAATGTAATGTTTCCCCTCCACCCGACTACCACCCCTCCATAGCATATAAACATTGTATGTTTATATGCTATGTAACATGTTTCTTATATAATTTTGAAGAAAATATCATAAGTGGATTAATGAAAATGTCTATATTAACATAAATCAAGATATTTAATGTGCCCAAAAGTGATTATTATTACATATTAGTATTATTACTATGGTGTTAAGACTAGAGGGACACTCTTAGTGAACGAGTAACAAAGGCAGACTGAGTCATGAACATATGAGCGACCGCGTCCCACGGGCAGGTGGACATGTCTGGTATGGACAATTTCTGAGTGGATGTACGAAAACAGGGGGAAAATTTCGCCAAAAAAAGTGGTCGAAAACTGAACTGTACGATAACCGGACCAGACGAAAACCTGGGTTCCACTGTAGCTGGAAGACACATGCCTGTTATTTACAGCAGAGGAGAAGCATGTATAATGGAATATATGATAATCTGTAGATATAAGATAGAACCGAGATAAAAAAAAAACCAAGGCTTCATATGATTAGAACTAACCATTTAATGTCATCAGTATGACCAAGATAATGTCGCTGCATCTGGTCTTCCACATTATAGAGGACAACCACAGCAGCAACAAAGTAAACAATCTCCCCAGTTGGCAACTGAAAAACGTTGTTTCTACAATCTCGTCCCCTGAAAAATTAAGAATTAAAATTAAGGCTACATGGTTTCCAAAACTTAAATACTACTAGTAAATTTATACAATGTTCATATTAAAAATAAAATGGTTTTAACACCATTGAAAACAATTGTGCAGTATTTGTGACACAGTATATGTACAGAATGCAATGCATAATTTTGTTTATATGAAATAAGAAATTTGTACAGGCACCATACAACACTGATTTTACAGCAGGAGATGGTCAGGCACTTCTTTAAGTCTGGGCAAAATTACAAGGGCGGCCACAGATGGTGGTGTGTAATATGCACTCACTCATACTGTTTTATTTTATTTTATTTATTTAATGTCTTTGCAAACAGTACATTGAGATTGTGTATATACAATAGTGGGTTGCAATGCAAAGAGAGCCTCTATTATGCCTAGGCATTATGGGCCAACTTAACATTATTGTCTTACATTCTACTTAATACTAAGGAGTAGTATATCATAGTTGTACAGTACGAAAGTAATTATTTCATAGTTGTACAGTAGAATATTAATTATGAATGAATCAAAATTTGTATAATACAAAGATACAGTGAACCCCCAGTTCACGTCATTAATCCGTTCCTGAGAGCTCATCGCAAAGCAAAAATTATCGGAAAGCAAATCAATTTTCCCCATAAGAAATAATGGAAATCAAATTAATCCGTGCAAGACACCCAAAAGTATGAAAAAAGAAACTTTTACCACATGAAATATTAAGTTTAATGCAATAGAATAATTACAATAGCAATAATAAAAATAGAATAAACACAATAGAATAATTGACACTTACCTTTAATGAAGATCTGGTAATGATTGATGGGATGGGAGGAGGGGAGAGTGTCGAAGTTTTTAATGTTTAGAAGGGGAATCCCCTTCCATTAGGACTTGAGGTAGCAAGTCCTTTTCCAGGGTTACTTCCCTTCTTTTAATGCCACTAGGACCAGCTTGAGAGTCACTGGACTTCTGTCGCACAACATATCTGTCCATAGAGACCTGTACCTCTCATTCCTTTATGACTTTCCTAAAGTGGTTCACAACATTGTCAGTGTACAGGTTGCCAACACGGCTTGCAGTAGCTGTGTCAGGTGATTTTCATCAAAAAAGGTTTGCCCTTCAAGCCACTTTGCACACATTTCCTTAATTTCAATAGTCATTAGCACCCTTGGTCTCGATGGGTTGGCACTAGAAGCTTTCTTGGAGCCCATGGTGACTTATTTTGCAGAAACGAGCACCAAAAACAGTGATAATATGGATAATATAGAATGTACCGAATGTATCCTTAGATGCGCGCACACTGGCTGGCTTGTAAACACTGGACACGTCTCGTATGAATCGTATCGCATACCGGGTTTTGTAACGGGAACCGAGGCAAATTTTTTGCGATATAATGCTTCGGATACCGGATTTATCGGATACTGATGGCTTCGCGAACCGGGGTTCCACTGTATACGCATTTATATTCTAAAATGCTTTTGTGAAAAACAACGATTCAATTATATTCCTGTCAACAATGGATAAAAGGTTCAATGTGATTGTTTCAGTTATGATGTGGGAGTACATAGGTGAGTAAATGTGTACTGAGTATTTAGCATTTAGTCTAGGGTGATTAAGTGGCTTTTGAGAAGAGTCTTAAATTGATTTTCAGACTGGGTTACTTTAATATCTTCTGGTAATGAATTCCATATTTTGGTGGTGGTGGTGATACCTGAAGTACAGTGGACCCCCGGTTAACGATTTTAATCCGTGCAAGAGGGCTCATCGTTATGCGAAATAATCGTTATGCGAATGAATTTTCCCCATAAGAAATAATGGAAATAAAATTAATCCGTGCAAGACGCCCAAAAGTATGAAAAAAAATTTTTTTTACCACATGAAATGTTAATTTTAATACACACAAACTGAAAAAGGCATGCACAATTACATGACACTTACTTTTATTGAAGATCTGGTGATGATTGATGGGATGGGAGGAGGGGAGAGCATTATCTTCTTACTGTTTAGAAGGGGAATCCCCTTCCATTAGGACTTGAGGTAGCAAGTCCTTTTCTGGGGTTACTTCCCTTCTTCTTTTAATGCCACTAGGACCAGCTTCAGAGTCACTGGACCTCTGTCGCACAACAAATCTGTCCATAGAGCTCTGTACCTCTCCGTTCCTTCAAGACTTTCCTAAAATGGGCCATAACATTGTCATTGAAATAGTCACCAGCACGGCTTGCAACAGCTGTGTCAGGGTGATTTTCATCTATAAAGGTTTGCAGTTCAACCCACTGTGCACACATTTCCTTAATCTTTGAAGTAGGCACAATGGATTCCACAACTGGCATAGGCTTCTCAGGGTTAGCCCCAAACCCTTCAAAATCTTTCTTAATTTCCATACTAATTCTCACCCTTTTTACCACAGGGTTGGCACTAGAAGCTTTCTTGGGGCCCATGGTCACTTATTTTCCAGAAACAGCACCGAAAACACTGTAATAATACGAAATATTCCGAGTGTATGCTTGGATGTTACCGCGGAGGCTGGCTGGTAAACAATGGGACGGCCGGCACATGTGAGGGCACATTGGACGCGTCTCGGACGAAAATCGGTAAGCGGGTTTTTAATCGGTATGCGCGGCAAAAATTTTGCGATAAAAGTAATCGTTATGCGGAAAAATCGCTATGTGATGCCATCGTTATGCGGGGGTCCACTGTATACCTTGAGGGTGTTCCGAGGGTCAACACCCCAGCGGACTGGTCCATGACCAGGCTTTGTGGTGGATCAGGACCTGATCAACCAGGCTGTTGCTGCTGGCCCCATTCAAACAGACATACAAACCACACCCTGGCTGGTCAGGCACTGCCTTTAGGTGTATGTCCAGCTCCCTCTTGAAAGCAGCCAGGGATTTATTGGTAATCCTCCTTACGTATGCTGGGGGGGCAGTTAAACAGTCTTGGGCCCCTGACACTTACTGCATTGTCTCTTAGCATACTCATGGTACCCCTGCTTTTCATTGGGGAATGTTGCACTGCCTGCTGAGTCTTTGCTTTCGTAGGGAGTGATTTCCATGTGCTGATTTGGGACTAGTCCCTTTAAGATTTTCCAAGTGTACATTATCATGTATCTTTCTTGCCTGCATTCCAAGGAATACAGGTCAAGGGACTTCAACCATTCCCTGTAATTTAGGTGCTTTATTGCACTTATATGTGCAGTAAAAGTTTTCTGTATATTGGCCAGGTCTGCAGTTTCTCCTGCTTTGAAAGGGGCCATTAATGTACAGCAATATTCCAGCCTAGAGAGAGCAAATGATTTGAAGAGAATTATCACTGGCTTGGCATCCCTAGTTTTGGTAAGTAAGACACATATGCAACAGTTAGGTATTTTTATTCTGAAATGTATTGCCTACACAGTAGGCTTCTTCAGTCGAGTACAGAAGACTTAGCAGGAGGAGGAGGGATGGGAAGACGATGTAATCAGCCATCACCCTTAAAGGCGAAGTTTTGAGGTGGTCAGTCCCTCAACCTGGAGAAGAATATAATGGCGTAGTATACCATTTTGATATTCACTCTATCAGACACTGCAACACAATGGTATCTTACTACAGAAGAGAAAACACCTTGGACAACTTTTCCAAGTGAGAATTATTATTATTATTATTTTTTTTATTATCACACTGGCCGATTCCCACCAAGGCAGGGTGGCCCAAAAAAGAAAAACTTTCACCATCATTCACTCCATCACTGTCTTGCCAGAAGGGTGCTTTACACTACAGTTTTTAAACTGCAACATTAACACCCCTCCTTCAGAGTGCAGGAACTGTACTTCCCATCTCCAGGACTCAAGTCCGGCCTGCCGGTTTCCCTGAACCCCTTTATAAATGTTACTTTGCTCACACTCCAACAGCACGTCAAGTATTAAAAACCATTTGTCTCCATTCACTCCTATCAAACACGCTCACGCATGCCTGCTGGAAGTCCAAGCCCCTAGCACACAAAACCTCCTTTACCCCCTCTCTCCAACCTTTCCTAGGCCGACCCCTACCCCGCCTTCCTTCCACTACAGACTGATACACTCTTGAAGTCATTCTGTTTCGCTCCATTCTCTCTACATGTCCGAACCACCTCAACAACCCTTCCTCAGCCCTCTGGACAACAGTTTTGGTAATCCCGCACCTCCTCCTAACTTCCAAACTACGAATTCTCTGCATTATATTCACACCACACATTGCCCTCAGACATGACATCTCCACTGCCTCCAGCCTTCTCCTCGCTGCAACATTCATCACCCATGCTTCACACCCATATAAGAGCGTTGGTAAAACTATACTCTCATACATTCCCCTCTTTGCCTCCAAGGACAAAGTTCTTTGTCTCCACAGACTCCTAAGTGCACCACTCACTCTTTTCCCCTCATCAATTCTATGATTCACCTCATCTTTCATAGACCCATCCGCAGACACGTCCACTCCCAAATATCTGAATACATTCACCTCCTCCATACTCTCTCCCTCCAATCTGATATTCAATCTTTCATCACCTAATCTTTTTGTTATCCTCATAACCTTACTCTTTCCTGTATTCACCTTTAATTTTCTTCTTTTGCACACCCTACCAAATTCATCCACCAATCTCTACAACTTCTCTTCAGAATCTCCCAAGAGCACAGTGTCATCAGCAAAGAGCAGCTGTGACAACTCCCACTTTGTGTGTGATTCTTTATCTTTTAACTCCACGCCTCTTGCCAAGACCCTCGCATTTACTTCTCTTACAAACCCATCTATAAATACATTAAACAACCACGGTGACATCACACATCCTTGTCTAAGGCCTACTTTTACTGGGAAAAAATTTCCCTCTTTCCTACATACTCTAACTTGAGCCTCACTATCCTCGTAAAAACTCTTCACTGCTTTCAGTAACCTACCTCCTACACCATACACTTGCAACATCTGCCACATTGCCCCCCTATCCACCCTGTCATATGCCTTTTCCAAATCCATAAATGCCACAAAGACCTCTTTAGCCTTATCTAAATACTGTTCACTTATATGTTTCACTGTAAACACCTGGTCCACACACCCCCTACCTTTCCTAAAGTCTCCTTGTTCATCTGCTATCCTATTCTCCGTCTTACTCTTAATTCTTTCAATAATAACTACCATACACTTTACCAGGTATACTCAGCAGACTTATCCCCCTATAATTTTTGCACTCTTTTATCCCCTTTGCCTTTATACAAAGGAACTATGCATGCTCTCTGCCAATCCCTAGGTACCTTACCCTCTTCCATACATTTATTAAATAATTGCACCAACCACTCCAAAACTATATCCCCTCCTGCTTTTAACATTTCTATCTTTATCCCATCAATCCCGGCTACCTTACCCCCTTTCATTTTACCTACTGCCTCACGAACTTTCCCCACACTCACAACTGGCTCTTCCACACTCCTACAAGATGTTATTCCTCCTTTTCCTATACACGAAATCACAGCTTCCCTATCTTCATCAACATTTAACAATTCCTCAAAATATTCCCTCCATCTTCCCAATACCTCTAACTCTCCATTTAATAACTCTCCTCTCCTATTTTTAACTGACAAATCCATTTGTTCTCTAGGCTTTCTTAACTTGTTAATCTCACTCCAAAACTTTTTCTTATTTTCAACAAAATTTGTTGATAACATCTCACCCACTCTCTCATTTGCTCTCTTTTTACATTGCTTCACCACTCTTAACCTCTCTCTTTTTCTCCATATACTCTTCCCTCCTTGCATCACTTCTATTTTGTAAAAACTTCTCATATGCTAACTTTTTCTCCCTTACTACTCTCCTTACATCATCATTCCACCAATCGCTCCTCTTCCCTCCCGCACCCACTTTCCTGTAACCACAAACTTCTGCTGAACACTAACACTACATTTTTAAACCTACCCCATACCTCTTCGACCCCATTGCGTATGCTCTCATTAGCCCATCTATCCTCCAATAGCTGTTTATATCTTACCCTAACTGCCTCCTCTTTTAGTTTATAAACCTTCACCTCTCTCTTCCCTGATACTTCTATTCTCCTTGTATCCCATCTACCTTTTATTCTCAGTGTAGCTACAACTAGAAAGTGATCTGATATATCTGTGGCCCCTCTATAAACATGTACATCCTGAAGTCTACTCAACAGTCTTTTATCTACCAATACATAATCCAACAAACTACTGTCATTTCGCCCTACATCATATCTTGTATACTTATTTATCCTCTTTTTCTTAAAATATGTATTACCTATAACTAAACCCCTTTCTATACAAAGTTCAATCAAAGGGCTCCCATTATCATTTACACCTGGCACCCCAAACTTACCTACCACACCCTCTCTAAAAGTTTCTCCTACTTTAGCATTCAGGTCCCCTACCACAATTACTCTCTCACTTGGTTCAAAGGCTCCTATACATTCACTAAACATCTCCAAAATCTCTCTCTCTCCTCTGCATTCCTCTCTTCTCCAGGTGCATAAACGCTTATTATTACCCAAGTGAGAATACTAGTTAGATTTGTGAGGGACGTGACCTGTCAATGAATATATTTTTTCTTCTACTCTTGGACTACACCTCTCCTTCTGACAGTATATAAGTCTCCATACAGCAGCTTAAACTTCACATTGTTGCAGACTATAGACCAAACTCTTCTCCAGACTGAGGAACTGACCACCTCAAATCTTCATCTTCAAGGGTGATGGACTAATTACATTGTCTTCACATCTCTACTGCTTCTGCTAACTCTTCTGTACTCGAGTGAAGAAGCATACTGTGTAGGCGAAATGTTTTGTAATAAATATGCCCAACTGTTGCATGCGTCTTACTTACCAACCTGTTGGTATTGTATACCATTTGATATTCATCTCTAGTTTTGAAGGTTCTCATTATCCATCCTATTGTTTCCGTAGCATATGTGGTAGACAAGATAATATTTTCTACAGATTTTTAACCCTGGAGGGTTAACCACCCAGGATAACCCAAGAAAGTCAGTGCATCATTGAGGACTATCTGTCTTGTTTCCATTGGGGTCCTCAATCTTGTCCCCCAGGATGTGACCCACACAAGTCGACTAACACCCAGGTACCTATTTTCTGCTAGGTGAACATGACAATAGGAGTAAGGAAACACGTTAAAATGTTTTCACCCCGCCGGGAATCGAACCCAGGCCCTCCGTGTGTGAAATGAGAGCTGTAGCCACCAGGCCACCGGTGGTCTTTGAAATTGGGATTCTCTGACATTATCACTCCCAGATCCTTTACATTAGTTTTTTGCTCTATTGGGCAGTTGGAATTTGTTTTATGCTCTGATCCAGTTTTTATTTCCCTGAGTTTTCCATAGTGGAGTAATTGAAATTTGTCTTCATTTAACTTCACGTTGTTTTCTGATACCCATTTAAAGACTTGGTTAACGTCCACTTGGGGATATGCAGTGTCCTCAATGGATGACACTGTCATGCAATTCTGGTATCATCAGCAAAGGAGGACACAGTGCTGTGGCTTACATCTCTGTCTATGTTAGATATGAGGATGAAGAACAGGATGGGAGTGAGTACTGTACCATGTGGAACAGAACTTTTCACTGTAGCCACCTCAGACTTTACTCTATTTACTACTATTACTCTTTGTGTTCTATTTGTTAGAAAGTTATAGATCCATCTACCAACTTTTCCTGTTATTATTTTATCATGCATTTTTTACACCATGATCGCACTTACCGAACGAAGGCTTTCTCAAAGTCTGTGTATAATACATCTGCATTTTGTTTGTCCTCCAACACATCCAAGACCATGTCATAGTGATCCAGTAGCTGTGAGAGACAGGAGTAACCTGCTCTAAACCCATGCTGTCCTGGGCTGTGCAACTGATGGGGTACATAAGTGAGTGGCAATCTTGCTTCTTAGAATGCTTTCAAAGATTTTTATAATGTGGAATGCTAGTGCTATTAGTCTGTAATTCTTTGCATGTGCTTTACTGCCACCATTTTGGAGGGGGGCTATATCTGTTGTTTTTACTGACTGCGGGATGACTCGTGTCTTTTCTCCTTCTCAATAGAATATTTAAGACATTTTAAAGGGGGTTTCTTGCAGTTCTTGATGAACCAGAGTTTCACAAGACTGGGACTAGGGCAGCATGTGTGGGCATGTCATTTACTTTTTTTAATTTAAAGTCCTGGGTGTTAGGATTATATCAGAAATTTTTAATTAACCAGACTTTGAATCTCAGTCATAAAAAATTCATTTAGATTGTCAACCCTTAGTCTGATTAATAGCTCACTAAATACTGAATCATACTGGGACTTCAGCATCTCTAAATTTCTTTGCTGTCATCTGTGCAAACCCCATCTCATTTAAGCAGGGGACCCAGTACGGATGTGGTTTTTGCATAGGAAAAGAAATATTTCTTTTTTCAATTTCACTTATGGTTTAAAGTTCTTTCCATGTTTCTTGGTTCCTGTATGATTCCTTAAGCTTAAATTTGATATTTTCTATTTCTCTGGCCTGTGCCTC